TCTCTCTCCCTCCCCCTCGTTCTCTCTTAACCACCCCCCCGCCCCCCCCTGTGCGTTTGGGTGTGTGTGTGTGTGTGTGTGTGTGTGTGTTATGAATTATCACCACAACTTCCCCTATTCCACTCAAATGAGTAGATCCAAAGTCATAGCAATTTACCTCTATTGCAGACAATGTGTGTGTGTGTGTGTGTGTGTGTGTGTGTGTGTGTGTGTGTGTGAGTGTGTGTGTGTGTGTTTTAGATTTTCCCCACAACAGCCCCAATTCCACCCAGGTGAATAGATTCAGATTCAAAGCAGCCTTTGTCCTACTGCAGACAACGAGAGCATTTGAGATGTCCAACATATTAAGGCAGTTATATAATTAGACAGTTTTTTGGTTGTCCTTGGGGTACCCCTTTCATTGTTCTTGCAGCTCCCCTTTTACTGTGCCTCTTACGCACAAGGCTGCCCACATTGATTGTGGTTGAGCGCAGCTGCCCACATCCCCGTGTGCCTTCACGGCCCACTTGCACGTTATTTCAGGAGGCAGAGTAAAAGGGAAGGTATGCTCCATCTCTTCAGAGCTTCATACTCCTGTTCATTTCACTTCAGATCTTCAGCTTATACAGTCTTTCAGAGCTTCATATTCCTGTTCATTTCACTTCAGATCTTCAGCTTATACAGTCTTTCTGTCCGTCCTTCATCTTCATACTTCTGTCATTTCATTTCTGATCTTCATATCGTCTATACTCTTAATGATGCTCATTCGTATGTATTCGTTAGTAGTACAAGGGGAGTGGAGGGGAGGGTGGAGGGTAAGGGGTAGAAGGCGGAGTTCTCTAGGAGTATGGGGCAGGGGAGGTAGGGGCAACTGGGCAGGATAGAGTATGACATGCAAAGAGCAGGGGAAAGGTGTATGACGGGTTTCACAGATTTCTAAATATTCACCGCTGAAGCAGACTTCTGAAAAAAAAAAAAAAAAAAAAAAGTTAAAAAAACTATGGCGAGTGGCCACCCCTACAGACCGGACAGGACCGGTTCAGGTGTGGGCTATGGAAGCACCGCATCCAATTTTCGCAGTCACAATTGCTGTGTGTGTGTGTGTGTGTGTGTGTGTGTGTGTCGCTCTCTACGATAGCATTGCCAAACACGCGGAGGTAACATATCAGAACATATAGTGCAGTGTTTGGCTGCATATCCCACTTCACACTGTGACGTAATATCTGCAAATCCATGACACCTCAATCCTTTGGGGAACCTCTATCTCAGTGGCGATTACCCACTTCAGAAATGATCTCTGCCAGCGCCACTTCACAGTAGCTATCAGAAGAGCAACACAGCGGGTCAACTGGAAAGAGAGGTAACGTGAGATGATGGGGGAGATGCACATACGCCTCAGCAGAGGTGAAGACTGAACCCGCAGAGCACATCGGTGCAGGCGAACTCAGAAAAACACCGAAGGGCCCACCACAAATTCAAAGATACCCAGGGAATAACAATATTCCAGCGAGGCCCTACAGATCCCATCACAGATTCAAAGATGCCCTGGGAGTAGCAGCACTCCGAATAGGCACAGCATACTTCTTCTGGAGTTCAATTCTTCTGGAGCATACTTCTTCTGCAGCATAACTTGAAAAGACCCTCCTCCAGCATGACTCCAAAGGACAGGAGGAACGAGGGGTTATATCATTCAGAAGATATTGAACTAGCACATGGAAAATGTGTCAGAGGGTAGTAGTATGCGCGTCCTCGTCCTGCCAAACCGAACGGGACAATGTCAGATGGTCACACGTACCTGTTTCTGCAAGCGAACACGCTCCTGCTTCAGCAGTGACAGCTCTGTGTCCGCCTGGAAAATGCGACACATGAGGCTACTGCCATGAGAAAATCTGCTCGAACAATCCACTTGCTAATCATCGTTGCATAGATCTTCCATGGCATATTCAGACTTTCTAATAATGGCAACTGTTAGGCACACCAGAATAGATGTTCACTTCCATCACCTTTCATCATCCTCGATAGTCAAGAAGATGTTCAAGTCTAAAAAAAGAGTTACCTGCAATATTCCACAAACTTGCAGACTGCAAATCCTGTGTTTGTCTGAGCTTTTAGCCTTTTACCATTGTTCTGAGTTTTCGCAGCCCGAGTCTGTTTCTTGGTGGTGGTTTGCTGATGATATCTGTGTTCTTTGTGTGGTTTGCTGACTTCTGTCTGAGGGATTGGAATGTGTGTGACCGGGTATGATGGCCTGAGCGTTGGTTTGGCCCTCTCAATAACCCACAAACTTGCAGACTGCAAATCCTGTGTTTGTCTGAGCTTTTAGCCTTTTACCATTGTTCTGAGTTTTTGCAGCCCGAGTCTGTTTCTTGGTGGTGGTTTGCTGATGATATCTGTGTTCTTTGTGTGGTTTGCTAACTTCTGTCTGAAGGCTTGGAATGTGTGTGACCGGGTATGATGGCCTGAGCGTTGGTTTGGCCCTCTCACCCCCGGTACTAAGACCTGTTGGCAATTGGAGTATGCTTTGTATTTGTGTTGTGCATATACTGCCGTGAATGGGAACAATGTCACGTACAGGGCTAGAAGGTAGGGCTACATAGGGCCAAGGTGGCCAAAATGAAGTACTACCGGGTAGATAGCAGAAAGGATAAAAAGGACTTTAGGTAGGCCGAGGCATTTCCGTGAGGTCCAGTCGGGGAAAGTGTGGAAGGTACAGGCCTGAATGCAGCCCAATAACTGTCTGGTTCATGTCCTGTACATAGGATATCAGTCGGCAAAGATTTTTCCACCAAAAGAGCACGAACTGGTAGCAGTAAGTGGAATAATTGGAGTTTTGACTCTGGTTCTTTCATTCATTGTTGCCATTTATTATACATAATAAGATGATGGCGGAGATGATGAGAGGGAGATGATGGAGGTGTGATGAGAGAGAGATGATATTGCTTCCAGCTTGTGTTTAACATCCTCTTCTTCTTCTTCTTCTTCTTTGATTCCACATTCTTCGTCCTCCCTTGTCTTATTCTTCTTCCAATCTCTTTCATTTGAGTATGGCAGTCTCTCTGTGAGTATTGTATTGGGAGATGACCACGATCATAACATACTATAAAGCCAGCGCTGACAGTGATGACGGATGATGACGACCAAAATTTCGAGCGAAGAGAGACCAGATTGCTAGGAGGGAACTGTTTGCATACACCATTTCATGTCACAGGACTTGATCATCAGGAAGAGTTGCCCTGCAATTCGGGCTAACAGAGATGCAGCAGTGTCTCACTCTGCATGCAAAAAAAAGAAAACGTCGAAGACCAGGATGATGATGGGAAAAATTTGAGCGAAAGATAGATGGATGGCAGGCTTTCCGGTAACGTGCTATATCAGCCTGAAGCTGCCAGACATTCCAACTTGTAAAACACACGACCCTGACCAGGTTCCACCCATGCAACACCCACGCGATGTGATGAAAGATCAATCACGGTCAACAACAATCAGCACAGCCATAGACCTTGTCGTGGAGCACATTTACTTACCGTCTCCTTTGCTCGTCGTAAGTACCGCACCACTTCCTCGAGGTCTGCATCTGTGTCTACGAGATGCTCAGTGCTGAGTTCTTTATTCCCCGCCAATTCCCTTTGGGACTGTTCAGCAGACTTCACGTGCTTGGCTTCTAGCCGATCCAAAAGAATGCTATTCTGAAAGAGTAGGACGAGTCATGACCACAAAACCTTGTCAACAAATGACTATAACTTAGTATAAACTACTATAAAGGGCTTTCCTATGGAACTTTTCCACAATATAGACCCCAGAAAGTGACTATAAAGTGCTTTCCTATGGAACTCTTCCACAAAAAAAGACCCCATAATACCTCTCCAGAGCTAGTCGAATGTTCTCCAAGGACCACACACACACAGTCGAGATTTACAATTTTATGTCACAGACTCACAGAGAACAAAAGCTCAAAAACAGAGGAAGTGATGGAAAATGTGTGCCCTGTGCCACCAAGGGCCTCTCATTCATAGTTCTCTCGACTAAACCTGGTTGATATTCCGGTCAAACACATCCAGGGAAATCCTACCGTGTCACTGCTCTAACCAGCTGAAGCACAACGCACTTTCCATGATAACCAAGAACAAATAGAATTTAGTATTTACTATTTACCCTACCTCTGACCACCACATAACATGGGCCGAAAGAAAGTTGGACAAACCAAACAAACTCTACTTGCTTCTGTGAGCTTGACAACCAATGCCATGCTTCGCCAGCCATACGACAACTCGACCATGGAGACAAAAGAGTGGCACAAAAAACTGGCATCAAGGAAAAGCTGGAAAAAGCATACGTCAGATAACATCAGGCAATTGCAACAGCAATGCTGCTATGTACCTGGTCCTCCAGTTCCCGCTGCTTCCGCTCTGCATCTGCTCTGGTGGACTCAAGTGCAGCTCTCTCTGCTGCCCAGGACACCTGGAGTGCTGCCTGCCCCATGATCAAAGACAACATCAGTTCTCTAGGACGGCATTTTCATGAAGTCAAAGCATGCAGAATTTCTTCTTATTTTTTCCTTTACGGTCTTACACAGTTGAGCGGATCCCTAAGTCATTTCACACATGATATGATCTGAGTGCGAGGTACAGAATGAGCCTCAGGCTCTGCAGTATGCCCAGACACAATACCAAAGACTCATAGCTAGGCAATTTCATGTCCAGGAAAAACTTGCAGCCACGAGCATATGCAGCAGCCACTGATAGACTTCCATACTATTCCATAGAGAGCGATAATTGTGAGTCAAGTAATTAACCAAGCACTTTTGATTTCATTCGCTGCGCGACTGAAGACTTAAAAGAGCCAAGCGACCCTTCTTATACCTCGTAACTGATAGCAACAGATCTAAGATTCTAAACAGCCACGAACAAGTCCCCAAAACCAGAGTTCCCCAATCTTTTCTTCTGTCAGTCCGGTTGCAGCTCCCAATACTTCCATTTGGGGAAGCACCACCTCGGCTAAGATTCAACGGTTTTCAACCTGTAGGGAGATCTCATAACAACCCTGGAAATGAAGCACAGCGCTCGATACTCTACAGTAACACAGATCCAATGCCCAAGCAAAATAGGATTAACTGAGGGAACTTATTGTTGAACAACGAATCATCCCGGGATATGCATGTCCTTGATCATAATGCTATGGGGGCCCTTAATTTCACAAAGTCGCAGTAAGGACAAGCTGCACCAGCATTTCCTCTGAAGGTGGGCCAGCTTGACGGAACCCATAGAGAGTCCTTGTGCACGTTCATCCGGTTATCTCATTCCCTTCCTCTATTACACCCTATATCCCCTCAATTTTCTTTTCCTCATCTTCCTTCATGCCTCCACATTATCCAACCACCTGTACTCACCTTTGGATAAGAGTATCTCAGGCGCTTTCAATGGGCACTAATGCACTTGGAGACAAAGCTCAGCACCAAACTCTATTTCCTAAGCTGGGTCTGGAGCTGCACAAGTGGAACTTCATGGTACTGACTTAAGGCTCTTCGCATCATTTCCTGATCAGGTACCAGGTCTTGAGGGGTGAACAGCAAAAAAAAAGAGATCTCCTCTAATCCAAAGATGACAGCCATCACCGCTGGCGATATTGTCAAAAGACACTGCGCTAGTAGAAAGCCGAACAGAGTACCTAAAGTAACAAACAAGAGGAAGGTGGCATTCATGGCACTAATGAAAAGGTGAAAAGAATACCCAAAATAAAAGAACATAAGAAGAAAGAGCCCAGTCTGCTAACTCAAAGGGGTCGTTAGGGGTAATGCCCTTCTGAAACATTTTCTATTGTTTGGTTTACAGTTGTGTCTAGTACTGAGAATGTGCCTCTACAAAGGGAGGGAAATAGGCGACTGCACTTCTGACATCGCTAGAAATAAAACATGGATACAGCAATTTAGGACACAGATGCACCCAAAGCAGAGGGAAAGCAACAGTGCAATTTGTCGAAGGAAGCATTCACGACACATTGATGTTGTGGGGCCATTGAGTGAATGCCATCTGCTCTGGTTAGTCCGGGAGATCCCATCAACATTGTGTCGGTCCGTAGCTGTACACCTGCTGTCAACAGGTGTTAAACCACCACTTCCTCGCTCAGTCTTGGGAAAAACGGGAAAACTGAGAGTTGTCCCATTTTCCCCGAAGTTTTCAGGGGTCGGCAGAGGGTCGGCAAGAAGGACCTTGTCGGCTCGCACGGAATACAAGGGGGGGGGGGGGAAATGACACTCACCAGCCAGGAAGCCAGGAAAGATATCGGGAAAGGCAGTGGAGGACGTACTGCTCACATCAAAACTGGAAACTATGTATGTGACTAATACCGTGGCAGCGGCGTGGCTACTTTCATTTTTGTTGTTTGTGTTTTGTTTTTCTTCTTTGTTTCATTACACTGCCCTGCCACCACTTTCCACGGGAATATTTAGAGTATATATCTAATCTCTAATTTAGAATATAAAGAAGATTGGAAATTTCTTCTCGTTTTTTTACAGAAAATAGAATTTTTGAGAAAAGAAAATATTGTTTTCTTTCTTGGCGCGCTCATAAAGATTACTACTAATGCACCAGCCTGCTTTCCCGTCCTGAATAGTTTCACTTTTGTTTTACCTTCCCGTACGTCCTGGACTCGACTGTGCCTCTGTAACGCCCTCTCTGAGGGCACACTCACACCGGTACTATACTTTCTGTATCCACCTGCTATTCCTTCCAAATGGTTATTTTAAAATTTCTCTTTGTTTTTCGTTTTCTTTTTTATCAAAGACGCAACGCCAAGTTCTTCCCCCCCCCCCCAAGAGCAGTAGAGTACCAGGTGGTTTAATAGAGACGACAGCTGAAGTTGAATGGAGAGAGAGTGTTAAGTCAATCTGATGCACATGGGGATCATCAAGGGTCACAGCGATACCTTGAACTACTACGCAAGGATAACAGATTGACATACCAGCTCTGCCTCCGCGGTCTCCGCCCTAGCACGGGCAGCACGCTCGACCTGTTCAAGTCTAGTTAAGCGCTCTGATGCCGAAGAGAGCTCTCTGATTGTGTCCGCTTGCAACATGACCTGGACATTCACATCATGAACGGAACATCAAACGTCGATGTCAGAATCACATCCTATCGAGTTGCAATAGCATTGACAATTTGACACTGGGGACTGTTTCCACCTTTTTTTTTTTTGAAACGGACGAGTATCCGTTAAATGAGGTTAATTCAACTTAATTGACAATTCCCGCTGTTATTGCGAAGGAGACCCTGAGACAACGGCATTGATTGCTTTCTAGAGAGCGAGGATTTACCTCTCCTCCAACCCTGTTCCTCCTGTCAAAACAGCAGTCGCTTCCCTTGCCAAGAATCAAAGGTCCAGAATTTAAGCCGCCCACAAAACCTATCTGGTGAGGCCGAAGGATTCCTGACCACCTTTGATGACTCCAATTGCTCAAGTCTAGACTGTTTTAAAGTGTTTTTTCAACTTTTTTCAAGTTTTTTGGTCTTTCCTTCCGGAATTCCTCTGTGTCGGCCTAGCCAAGACTGTGAGATTTCAACACATGTTTTGTAGACAAGAATTTCAGAAGATCCAGCCTTGATCCTGTTCAGTCGCTTCCCTTGCCAAGAATCAAAGGTCCAGAATAAAAGCCGCCCACAAAACCTTCTGGTGAGGCCGAAGGATTCCTGACCACCTTTGATGAGTCCATTTGCTCAAGTCTGTTACATACTCCAATGAGTATGGGCAGAACCAAGAATCAACCAATATAGGATGAGTTTTTATGCAGTGGAAGGCTTATAACGAACTGACTCACATAGACTGACTCACATAGACTGACCTACATGGCATC